TTTGAACTGCCAGTTTTTTGGTTAGCAGCCAAGCTTTTAACCACTGCACCACCAGGGCTCCTCCAGTGACATAGTCTCTAAACATGAATGTTAGTTATCTCTTCCATTTGATGAAAACTAAGACTGAACTACACCATTAGCTCAAATACTACTTGATTGCTTTATTTGACTTCTTTCAGTCTACTGGGCATATGGCAAAGTAACAAAACGGAAGTCTTGTATCTTTTTAACACATTTAATGACTTTTCTCTCAAAATTTAGGTTCTCAGAATTTTAGGAACCTGAGACTGCCTTACAGTTTGCTACCAATCAGATTTAAGTCTGTGATAAAAATAAGTCGGTTGCACCTATTAGAGTAGATAAAAGTCTACATGACGTTTCTGATCTTTGTTGTTGTTGTGCCTTTAAGTCAATTCTGACTTGACTTTACTTTTCTGATCTTTGCTTATGCTGACAGATAACCTCTAGGTCAAACTTCACCATAAATATCCTCTGTTGGCCTTCGGTGCTGATGTATCACTGCCAGTTTTTCAGTGCGTTTACCTCCTATCCCAGTATCTGGAGCTTTTACTTTAGTACTTTGTTTTCCAAAAAAATGAAAGACTTACTATATCAGTAGCTTTACAACCCTGTTTTGTTTTGGTCTTGTTGATTAAATTATAAGCAAGGGAGCAAAGATCTTCATAAAGATTTGCTGTGGTATATTAATTATTATAATGCTCTTGACTACTTGCCTCATCTCTTGAGTGGAAAAGCAGCAGAGGCACTGACTTGAGCTGAGTGGTAATGTTGTCTGTGTCTCCCAACTATTGCCTAGAGAGAACAAGCCCAACTATCTAGTCAAGTGAAGGCAGGGGACAGCTGTTAGGTCTTCACTTAAAGCTGGACCTTGGTCATTGATGTGCCAAGCATTGATCTCAGAGTCAGACATAGTAGATATATAGCTGGCAGAACTGAAGAGACAGACTAAAAAATATGGAAATAAGAAAAGGGACAGGAGCTTCAGAGGAGGACAGACGTGCTTGTAATTAACTGCAACTTTATCAACTTAATATACTAAAAATTGATCTAGCAGTTTTGTGGGATTTCTATTCCCATGCACTCTCCTCCCTAACATGTATCATTCCAGCTTAACTGTGTATCTGATACAGATGTGTACTGATAAAGCTAAAAAAATAAGCTAAGTTGGACTGAGGCCATCAGCTTACCTGTCCTAAGAGTTTTTGTACTCTGTTAACACCTTACACAGGGATAGATGTTTCCTTATCCTTATCTCTATTGCCTTTTCCATGATCCCTCCAGCTTTGGCTATATATAATCCATCCCATTCTTCCTGTTTTAATCTTTTAACAAAAGGAACCCTCTGTTCTTTTCCTACGTGGAGTTAGCACCCCAGTTTGGAATCTCACTGTTGATAGTTAATTGTGCCGGCTTCTCTGCACACTTGTTAATATTTAATTTTTTTTTTTTTTTTTGCCAATCTGATAGGCGAAAGAAGGAATTAAAATTTCTGTTGATAGTTAAATGTTCTAGCATTTTAAAGTGCAATTTGATAGGAAATCTGCCAAAATCCAAATATCTAAAAGATTTGTTTAACCTTTGAGCAGGAATTCCACTTTGAGTTTCTATCCAACAAAAATGTTTGGACACCTAACCAGAACTATAAATATAAGCATAGTTAATGAAATTGTAATAGAAAAATGGAATAAAATCAACCTAAATGCATAGCAATAAACAAATATTTAATAAATTATGTACGTATTGTAGAATAGTTCGCAGTCGTTAAAATGAAATAAATATACAGGTCCTACATGAAAACATTGCTAAGATATAGTGCTAAATGAATGGGGCCTGTTACAAAACATATTTAAAAATATATATATTGGTAGAATGTGTGTGTATTTTTATGTAGGCTTTTAAAGTATATAGAAAGGTCTAAAAGAATAAGTGCGAAATTCTTAATGGTGTTTAGAAAAGAAAATGAATTGAGGATGGGACGTAAAAAGAAATTTAATTTTTTTTATCCTATATACTTCTATTAGTTTAGTTGTCCAATAAGCATATATTGCTTTCAGAAGTAAAACTTCGGGAATAGCATGGCTGTTTCTACCTAAACTCCTAAATACATGAGTTTTATGCTAATTTCCTATGTTCTCTTTGCTCTTATTTGAGATAATTTTAAGATTGAAATGAGTCATTTATAATACTTTTTTTTAATCTTCAAGTATAATTGAAAGTCTGTATCTCTGGAAAAATAAATACAGACTCAGCATTTTAGTATGAGTATTTTAAAACTGTTTCTTCATAATTCCATCTTGGTAACATAAAATTAGTATAGCTTTCTTATTCGGTTTATATTTTTACCTTCTAGTATCTCTTCATGGAAAAGTGTTTTGGGAAGGTAGGGAGAAGGGAATGCTGCTGTGACGTATCTTTGTTTCCTTTGGGTTAGATCTGCCCTTCTCATGGGATAATCTAGGCCATTATAGTGTTCGCATTCAGTGTCTTAGAAAGATAAAAGTTAGAGTGTTTACTGTTTACCAGGTACTGGGCTAAATGCTTGATATGCCTTTTGTTATTTAATCCTCACAACAACCTTTTGAAATAAATTTAATAATCATCTGATAGATGAGGAAGCAAGGCTTAGCAAGGTTAGAAATAATAAGATTTAGAACTGTTAGAACACATGTAACTAGTGAGTTGCAGAACTGGGATTTGAACCTGGATCTGTCTTACTCATAATCCCATGCTCTTAATCTCTATCCCACATCATCTTCTAGAGCATTCCATGAGGACAACTGTCAATGAGATCTACAAAAACGCTTGATGTATTTTCCTCATTTTCTTATTTCTCCGTTTCTTATCATTTCCTCATTTTCATAATCTTATAATGGAAATGATTATGGAAGATGCAAAAAGCACTCTTTAAGTGTTTAGCTTTGTATAAATCGGCCTCATTGCCAAAGTGGACATCATTTGTACCTCTGTCATTGTTCTTTGTAATACCATTGTGAGAAAGGATGCTTCGTTGGTTGGATCCTTCATTGTTTGCCTTACACTGAAGTTTTGATCATTGTATTCTTAACCTTTCTAATACCATAATGTCTGAAATGAGTGAAACTAAGTGAAGAATGTTTTGAATATAAATTCTGCTCGTGTAAGATAACGACATTTTGTAACCACAAAATGTAGCCACTTCACTAAACATCATATCAGGTCATATCACTGTATGACTTTCTGGTGATTCTGGGTGTAAATTCTATGACTTGTACAGATTGAGACTAAAGAAATTTTCCAACAAACACAAAATAGGAAAGAGTAAACACACATGGACCTGATAATTTGTTTTGATGCACGTATTTTGACAAAGTGTTTCATGTTGTTTTTCCTTCCCATTGTTTTTCCTTCCCATTGTTGACTAGATTTTATTTGTAGTGATGGGTTTTCTTCTTTGTGTTCAAAGGGCAGCCATTCTACAAAAGTGGAAGCTGTGGTGAGAACTTTGATGAGAATCCAGCTTAGAGATCCAGGGGCGAAAGCACTTGTTTTCTCAACGGTACAATTCACATTTTCATCTTCAGTATTAACTCAGACAAGTTTTCTGTCTGTAATTAATTTATATGAGAGAACTGATTTTTAGTGGTTGCCATAATATAGCTGAGGTGACTTAGTGTTTAATAGCTATGGCTGCTAACCAAAAGGTCAGCAGTTCGAATCCACCAGGCATTCCTTGGAAACCATGTGGTGCAGGTCTGCTGTATCCTATAGGGTCGCTGAGTCAGAATCGACCTGACAGCAACAGGTTTGTTTTTTTTGTAACAGTAATTTTTACATATTAAATTATTTTTCATGTCCATAGGATTTTTATTTTTAGAGAAATTTGATGATTCTTAATAAGGTAATTTCTATAGATATATTTCATGTTTTTATATTTTATTTAGGAATTTTTTTATTTTATGGACCCCTGGTGGTGCAGTGGCTTAGCTGCTAACCTAAAGGTTGTTGGTTTGAACTCACCAGCTGCTCCTTGGGAAAAAGATATGGCAATCTGCTTCTGTAAAAACTATAACCTTGGAAATCTTATGGGGCAGTTCTACTCTGTCCTGTAGGGTCACTATGAGTCAGAGTTGACTCGATGGCAACAGGTTTTTTATTTTCTATTTTAAACATTGGAATCTGTAACCTGAAAATCTCGCTTCACAAGTAAATTTGGTTAAGAAAAAAAAAATCAAGTAATCTAGTGAATAAAGTATAAAAAAAATCGTTTTCATTTTTGAAAGAGAAGTAACCACACCCATTAAGTACTCAATTCTTTATGTTCTGTTATTTATGTCTATCATAATTCAGTTCTTAAAGATACTTGTCGCCTTTCCTCTATCTTCAAGTTATCATCTGATGTCGGGGGAAGGGGGATGGGAGGACCAATACCACTACTCTTTCACGATAGAGCTACATGATACGGATACTACTAGATTTGAAAGTTTTGTGTTTATTTTATTTAATCCTAAAGTACAAAAGTTATTTTGATTTAGTCCCTTTTCAAATCCTCTTCACGAAAGCTGTATGTAAATATTGTTTTTCTTATTGTTTTATGTGTTCTAGTGGCAAGATGTGTTGGATATTATTTCAAAAGCTCTCACTGACAACAACATTGAATTTGCACAAATCAGTCGCGTTAAGACATTTCAGGTACATCAAGAAGATTTTTCTTGTGTTATTTGGAGTAGATTCAGCTACACGTTGAAACTGTTGTTAACTAGCTTACCTATTTTTTTTGCCTTTTATCAAATAAACCACATAAGCAGGGTTTTCGTTCGTAATTGATGAATTATAAAATTAACTTTTAAAAGCAAAGTAGAGAAACTAGTTCTTTTCTGTCTATTCAGTTATATCTATAGCACCACCAGACTCTATCTTCTTTTAATTTTTTTTTAAGATCTTCTGGTTTAAGGTCTTTTTCTTGAATATAGGAAAAGATTGTCTGTGCTATACCTCTTGAATGGACCAAAGGCCTTATGCTCCCTAGAGATTAGGTTCTAAATATACTGCATAAGGTGAAACTGCATAAAGTCAAAGTTGTCCTCACATTACACTCAGCACAGGGACTCCGGGAGACACAAAGAAAAGAAGACCAGCTGAGAATTTAGTAGATTTGTGTCTCTTATCTCGAGCTCACTCTAGAACGATTCTCGTTATCTCTTTTTCCTCTAAGTGTGTGTAATTTAATTTGCAGACATCATATACATTACTTTGTGATTTCACTGTATATTATAAAGAACAAGAGACTTACGTGATACTTTTCCTTATAATTAAAGTGTAGCAACATGTTTACATTTTCTAAAATTGATAATTTTACATTTAATTTTCTTGTTACATTTCACAATGATCTAGATACTGCTAAGCATCTTTAAAGTGAGCTAAAACATACTACTCTTATTTTTAATTGATCCAGCTAAAATTAAAATGTACCTTTCTTTTTTAGGAGAATCTTTCAGCATTTAAACACGATCCCGAAATCAATATTTTGCTGCTGCCCCTGCACACAGGTTCTAATGGACTAACTATCATTGAAGCAACTCATGTTCTTTTGGTGGAACCCATACTGAACCCTGCCCATGAGCTTCAGGCCATAGGGAGAGTGCATCGAATCGGACAGACAAAGTAAGAACTGAAATTAGCATCAGTCATATTTATTTCAAGTTTCTAAGATACCAAATCAAACTCTTCCAATTATGTTTATCATAGCTTATTCATTTTTAATTACTTCCCTATGGCAAAAAGGTAAGTCGAGATTTTCAGTTCTCCTTCCTCCAGGCAGCAAACCCCAAAATTCTCCCAGGTTTTTATCTTCCCTCCATCAAAAGTACCCTAATTGCTTAACCAAAAAGTCTTTCCTCCTTCTGAAACTACTGTGATTGCATCATCAAATAAATTTTGTTAGAAATACGTAAGATAGTTGCATAAAGGTATCCATCATGATTTTAGTAAGAATTTATTTTTGTCTAGAGTAGCCTATGATTAAAAGTAGGCATACCTCATGCTTGAATGAAAACAACTAGCTCCTTTTTAAGTTCTTACCCTTAGGAAGAGACAAGCTTCTAGGTCAGCCCTAAAGAGATAAGTAGATTTAGTCTAGGGCTCAAAGGAAACCTAATAGTGAATATTTTGTGGTAGGTACTGCCTTCACACAAATATCAGAATGTTGAGGATTATCCTTGATAAGGCCTACTAGATATATTACCTCCTGGAGTTTAGATTGCTTGAATGTTTTTTTAAAATGCTGCCATACTAAGCATTCATTAAATAAATATTTACTGAGCACTACGCTAGATACTGAAGATCCAAATTGAGACATAAAACTTATCCCACAAGAAAGTTACAGTGTATACAGGAGACAAATGAGTTAAAATACTGCAGTAGAGTGTGTCCAAATACAATAATACAGTTACTCTGGTAGCAGAAAAGAGGGAGTTATCATTTATGCCCTAGAGAGTTACGGAAGGCTTCATTAGATTGAGTCTTGATGGAATGATGATTTCAAAGTTGGGTAGAGAAGGTGCTCTCATAGCCAGAGAGGAGCTGCATGTGCAGAAAAACAGAGGTAATAAACAAGTATTTCTTCAGACTATAAGAAGTTGAATTGCTGGAGTGTAAAGTCTAAGAGGAGTGGCAGGAGATGAACACCTTAAATGGACTACTCTGTAAACAGTAGCTGGGAGAGCAAATGAAGAGTTCATTTTAAGCAGGACAGAGACATTTTCATCAAACAAATCCTTAACAAAATATGGCAAAATAACATAATAAATGCATGCTTGTTCTCAAGTACTACCAGGTGTCATTTAAAATGCAGTTTTGTCTTACTTGTTTTTGTTAATTTTGTTCTTTTTTTAAAAACATTGACTTCTTGTCCTTCTAATGTTTTTCTAAAGCATAGCCTGGACTCACCTCAGATTTATGACTACAAATCCTAAAAGGCCGTTCAGCGCTACTGGACAATCCTATACTTCCCTAGTAAATAGGTTTCTCTGCTTTCTGTGGAGATTATCTTAGGTCTTCTGTATCCTTCTCCTGCCCGCTGTCAGCTGATCATGTTGCCTCATACAGGGAGAATAGACAAAGTCAGATTAGAAGCCCCTCATCTTTCTGTCACCCAATTCATCCATCTACCTGTGTCAGTACCACGTTCCTCATTCAATACATTTTTATTGGAGCACTGTCCTAGGCTTGAGATGTCCTCATGGAGCTCACATTCTAGTTGTAAGCAGGTTGGTAGAGGCAGATGGTAAACAATAAAAACATACTGAATATATAGTATGTTATGAGCTAGAAAAATTGATCAGAGTGAGGAGGATTAAGAGTACAGGGGGATAGACAGAAAGACCGTATTGAGAAAGTAATATTTGAGCAAAGACTTAAAAGAGGTGAGAAAATTAGTCATGCAGATATCTTAGAGAAGAATATTCAAGCCGACAGTATACCCAGTACAAAGGCCTGAAGTCAGGAGTTTGCCTGGTATGTTTGAGGAATGGCAAAGTTAGAGTAGCTGATGTAGAATGAGCAAAGGGGAGAGGAATAGGAAATGAAGTCAGAGAGTTTAGGGAAACCAGATTATAGAGGGCCTAGGAGGCCAAAGAGCCATAGTGGTGCACTGGTTAAGCACTCAGCTGCTAACCGAAAGGTCAGGAGGTCAAACCCACCAGCCGCTCTTGGGGAGAAAGCTGTGACAGTCTGCTTGCATAAAGATTACAGCCTTAGAAACTTTATGGGGCAATTCTACTCTGTCCTGTAGGATCGCTGGGAGTCGGAATGACTCAACAGCAGCGGGTTTTGGTTTTTTTGTTTGTTTGGTTTAGGAGGCCACTGTGAGGACCTTGTTTTTACTCTGTGTGAGATAGGGAACTATGTGAGCAGAAGAGTGATGTGATATAGCTTAAGTTTTGTGAAAGAATTATTCTAAGTGCTGTGTTGGGGGCTGGGGATGGGGGGAGCAACAGAGAATAGAAGCAGGGAGACGGATTAGGAGGCAATTGCAGTAACCCAGGGGAAAGTTGAAGGTAGCCTAAACTATGGTGGCAGCAGTGGAAATGGTGAGAAGTGGTCAGATTCTGGATATATTTTGAAGGCAGAGCCAATAGTATTTGCGGACAGACAGGACATAGGGTGTGACAGAGTTAAAGATAACACCATGGTTTTTGACCTGGCAACTAGAAAGATAAAGTAGCCATCAGCAGAGATGGAGAAGACTGCATGGTGGAAATTTGGTGAGGGAAGAACAGTTCAGTTCAGATACAAGTTTGAGATGTTTATTATACATCCACATAGAGATTTCTATTATGTAGTTGGATAAACTTGGATCCACTGTCAACACCCATGGAAACAGCCGTCAAGAAATCAAATGACGTATTTTGCGTCAGGCAAATCTTCTGCAAAAGACTTCTTTAAAGTGTTGAAAAACAGAGATGTCACTTTGAGGACTAAGGTGCGCCTGACCCAAGCCACGGTGTTTTCAGTTGCTTCATATGCACATGAAAGCTGGACAACATATAAGGAAGACTGAAGAAGAATTGATGCCTTTGAGTTACGGTGTTGGTGAAGAATATTGAATATACCATGAACTGCCAGAAGAACAAAGAAATCTGTCTTGGAAGAAGTACAGCCAGAATGCTCCTTAGAAGTGATGATAGTGAGACTTTGTCTCACGTACTTTGGACATGTTATCAGGAGGGACCAGTCTCTGGAAAAGGACATCATGCTTGGTAGAGTAGAGAGTCAGCGAAAAAGAGGGAAACCCTCGATGAGATGGACTGACACAGTGGCTGCAACAGTGGGCTCAAGCACAACAGCGACTGTGACGATGGTGCCGGACCGGGCAGTGTTTTGTTCTTTTGTATGTAGGGTCTCTGTGAGTTTGGAACCGACTCAGCACCTAACATCAACAACAGTTGGATAAATAAGAGTTCAGGGGAAAAGTCTGGCCCAGAGATATTCATTTGGAAGTCAATAGCATATAATGGTATTTTAACGTTGTAAGACTGAATAAGATTCCCTAGGGAGTGAGTATAGATAAGAGAAGTGCACCAAGGACTAAACTCTAAGGCACATCAGAGTTGAAAGGCTCTGGGAGAAGAGAAGGAACCTGCAAAGACAGCGAGTAAAGATCAAAGAGTGAATTAAGAAAACCATGAGAGAGAGGTGTCCTAGAAGCCAAGTAAAGAACCTGACTCGAGGAGGAGGATATGATCAACTGTGTCATGTACTGTTAAAATGTCAAGTAAGATAAGTACTGAGAATTGATCATTAGGTTTAGCAGCATGGAGATCAAACCAGTTTCTGTGAAGTAATAGAGGTGATGGCCTGATTGGAGTGTCAGAGAGAATGGGATTTTATATATGTATTTATTTATTAACAAACACTTAAATAACAAAGAGAGGTTAAGTAACTTGTCCAAGGTCACATAGCTTGTAAAAAGTGGTGGCAGGTTTCAAACAGACATTTAGGCTCCCAGCCCATGATTTTAACCACAGCATACTGCTATTTCTATATAGCTGATATGGACAGCTATTTTTGAGAAATTTTGCTGCAGAGAGGAACAGAGAAAGAAAGAGTCACATCAAGAGAGGCCTTTGTTTGTTTTCCATCCATAGAGTAGTCCAAGGGGTTTCTAAAGTAAAATCAAAGTATAAGTCATACATAAAGCCCACTGATGGCTTCCCCTGATAACCACGTTAAAATCCAAATTCCTGGCCAAGTCCTACAAGACCCCACATGACCCGGCCCCTGCTCACCTCTCCAGTCATATTTCACCTTCTTCCCCTCACTTACAATATGCCTTTGCCACTCTAGTCTTCTTTCTCACCCTTGGACATTTTAAGCTTGTCCCAAGTGTGTTCTCTTCTCCCCGGCATTGCTTTCATTTGCTGCTTCTGTTTGAATGCTTTTCTCACTTCTTTTCCCTTTTCTTAGCAGCCTCATTTCCATCATTCATGTCTCTACTTATAAGTCAGCCTCATCTCTACCCAAACCCGTCTTATTTGTGCATGTGTTTATGATCTGTCTCCCTCTTTAAAATGTCAGTTCATTGAGATCAAGTTCTTTGTTAAAGTCACTGCTGAACCAGCACCTGGATTAGTACCTGCCACGAGTGGGCACCAATTAACTGATGAGTCTAGCATATAATATGTGAAGTCTGTAACTTGGTTTAAGATGTTTGTAAACTTACAATTGTTATGTATGTTCTAGACCTACTATTGTACACAGATTCTTAATTAAAGCAACAATAGAAGAAAGAATGCAAGCAATGCTGAAAACTGCTGAGAGGAGGTAGGTGCCATTTACTGCAAGTAGGTGGAGAAAGTGTTTCTGTTTATATAAGGATGTGTACGTATTTGGAATGTCTTCACTTAAATGACTACTTAGTCAACCACAGGATGAAAGCACAAATACCTTTTAATAGCAAGGTATGAACATTTTACCTATTCAGTTTAATTCTTGTTTCCCAGTTAATGCTCTGGACATTGTAAATTTGACTTAATTTATTAACATATTTAAACTATCTTACATGTCTTTGTGCCATTGGATTACTTTTTAAATGAAGTATGTCCATATGCCCAACCTGAAAGCCTTAGTCTATTGTGTGTGAAACAAAACTTGAATTTCTGTTTCATGCATCACTCGTTAGTTACATGCAAAGAGGATGATCAGGACTTAAAACTCAGCTGGTAATTGTGGTCCTAATTCCAATGACAGAACAGAAACAGAGAGACCAGAAGAGCTTTAATTTAATAAACTTACTTTGGAATCACAGTATGTATGTTAATCCTACTATTTATGTTATTAGTATTAATTTGTTTCTTTAAAGCCTTTTAAAAAACATAAACCAGTGCCTCACTATATCCTTGTGAGCTTGTTAGGATTAGAAGATACCCAAGGGAGACGTTATTGCCTTAGGAAGGATTGTTTCCACAGAGGTACTTTGCATAGCAGAAAACAACCTGAAAGTGTTTTCTTCCACTGATGGAAGGAAAGAGGCTACCACGTGAGCTTTTTGCCTTAAATATGAAGGCTTTTTTGTTGTTATTTCTATATGTATAACAGACCTCAGTGATTTTGAAGAGCTGTTGAAAATTTCTTGTAAGGTGATTGCATTAATAGCAGTTGGCAGGAGTTTTCTTTCTCTGTTTCATTAATTATGCAGGGGAGGGGGGAATGTTATGACCAAGTCTGCGAATAATATATAGACGTCTTCACTAAGTAAAATGTAATAATGATCTTATCACCTCTTTTCTTCTGGGAATGTCTTGTGATCTAGTTACAAAAGCTTAGGAACAAATAAGTGTCCAGACCTATATTACCACAAATATATTAATTTATTCCCGGGGGTTTCTTTCTGATACTGGGCACTTGGAAAACCCTGCAGTCACACGAGCTCGTCAGCGAAGCACTCAGAGGCCTCCGTCTTGACCGTGGCTGATCTGGCAGACCTGTTTACCAAAGAAACTGAAGATATTGAGTGAAGTACACTTGATTCAATCCAGATGCTAATGTATTCATAAATTTTCACAACTTGTAGAGTGAAGTTATAAGTAAAAAAAATTCCAGTACATGTCAGTAAACACTGTTGTTGGATGATTTATTTCTCTTTCTGATTGCACAGTGTCCTAGTAGTTCTTGAGCCTTTTTAAATACATAGTTTCCAAAAGATCTTCAAGGTTTTTAATTTTTCACTCCTAATAAAACATTTATTTTTGTTCCAAAGAATATCTATATCTGATGAGGTGAAGAAATGAAGAGAGGTAATGTGTACCTTTCGTTTGCTAAGATCCGTCTTAGAGAGTTGGAAAAAGAGAGAAAGAAAGTAAACTAATCTAGTTTTCTATGACCTGTATATAGGCCCATTTTAGGAAGGGCCTTCACTGTCTTTAGCACGTAATTCACCAGATATCTTGTATGTTTGAAGTAGATGGTGAATTATATTAACTCTTAGTTATTTGAGTAGGTTTAGACCGTAACTCCATCAGTAGTAACTTCACAGTAATACAACTCCTAACAATAAGGTATGTTAGGCAAGTATTTCTTTCTCTGTATCTTGCTACTAAAAATCAAAATATTGAAAACTTTTCATATTTTCATCCTGTGTTAAGTGATGTTAGTGTAAGCTGTTAACTCTAAATAGCATTTTAAGTGTAATTTCACCTGAAAATTACCTAAGCTATCTCTACTTTTAATTTTTCTTATTGTTAAGTTTTTAACATGTTTTAAGATTGACATATCTGTAAATAATGCAAATTTTTATGATTTTAGGTCTTGTCATTATAACATGGAAATATGGCAGTGTTTTTTATTATTATTATGGTGGTGTCTTGGATTCTTTTCCTTTCCCATGTTCATGTATAACTATACTTTTAACCACTTGTATTTAAATTTATGATAGGGTTTCTTTTATTCCAGGTTACTTCCCTTAGGGACTAGTATTTGATCTTTGGAACAAGAGAATGTCGTGGTCACATAAGCAAATAATTGCAAGTGATAATAACAGTGTTTCTTCTTCTATGAAGAATTAATGGACTTCGAAATTGCTAAATAAAGAGTAGCTTGTTGTATCTTAGCCATTTAATGTAATCCAAATGTCCTTTGTGTTGTTTTCTTTGAGCCTTCAGAGTTTTAATCGACCCTCAGGACTCATTAGCTCCTGCTTAGCTGCCCAGAAACCGTTAATAGAAATATTCCCTGGATCATATTTGTCTGAAAGCCTTTGGTGCTTAGTCAAGGTGCATTTTCTTATTCTAGGTTTATAGGTGACATAATTCAGCTGAAGAAAACACACACTTGTTTTTGGTGCTTATTTTTCAGCTGAAGGGAGATATGCATTGATTCTTTTATATGAAATTGAATATAACTATTATTTTTGTAGCTCTTTACATATTATAAAGAGCTTTCCTGTACATTCACCTGTTTAATTTTCCCCAGAGTCCTGTGAAGTTGATATAATTAATATTCCTATTTTACAGATAAAGAAACTGAGGTTCAGAATATTGAGAAACTTGCAAATAAACAGTGGAGCCCAGGTCCCCTGACTCCAAATCTCATGTTGTCTTCCTAAATCATGTCATGCTGAGATTAAGAAGGCCCCTGGTTGTAATTTAACGATGAGATGATTTAAGCATTTTTTGTGTTTTTTTCCCTAATATTCCTTTCTAAACTAAAATTTTAGGGAAAACTATTTGATATGCTTGAATTTTATAAAAAAATATATATGTACACATAGTTACCTGTATTAGAGGAAAAACTGCTCTTATTTATTTCTGTAAGATATCATCAATTAAATAAATATTTTAGTGGAAATTGAAATTTGGGGTTTATTTAATTTTTGAGTCATAGAACATATGGCTTTCTCTTATGTGTCTTAACAGAAGATGTCACAATTACTTATACTATAGAGTCCTGTGTTTTATATATATTTGTTATTTCTTCAATACAGTTGTGACAGTTCTTCCAAACAATTGTCAAAACAAAGACAGATCTAATCCTCACAGCTTCTTGGATACAAACAAAGGACTTTTTTGTTTCCTTCCCCCATCATTTTAGGTTATCAGAAATACTACCATGCTTATAAATAGTTGCTCGCTAACCTAAAGGCATGCTGCGCTAATCAGCCAGTGAGGAAAAATGAAAAGAGATAGCCCCAGTCCTTAGAAGAGCTTCAAAGTGTTTGGATCTGGGGAACCATTCTCTGTTAAATAACTCCCGATAAGCTTAGTAGGACTGAAAAGATTATTTATATAGAATAATATATAGCTTTACTATATTTATGAAAGCTTTAACTTTTCTCTTTGTATATGATCGTCGAAAAGATCCATCTATTTCAGTTTGGGATTGGCCCCTTTCAGATCACTTTAATAACAACAAACTAAAAATTCTTAACATGATCATTCAACCTATAATTACAAATACATAGCAAATAATTATCAAATCTAATTGTCAGAATATTTAGAAACTGAATTTAGTAGTGCAAGATTAATCAACTCAAGCTACCCTTACGAATGAACAACGGAAGAAGTTATGTCTTCTAAATCTTCTGCCCTATTTTACTAGCTGTCCCACGATTTCATGTGCTAGAGTTTCTTATGGTTATGAAACTACAGGACAACTTTTCAGAAATGCAAAAATCATCTGTACTAAGTGACCTCAGGCTTAGTTAAATTGAATAAAAGATACCTTTCAACTTTTCTAGAATTTAGCTAAACAAAACCCCCACAATAATATGCCATTTGTATTTTTAACTGATGTAACAATATAAAAACAAAATGTCATCAAAACAGTACCGTACAGGCAATGCATTTTTAAGCGGGCTTACTCTGATAATCTAATCTTCAATAATATTTCTTCACAGTAGAATCAGCAGTATATTTTATAAACTTTTCTGTTTTCTAGAATCTCCGTGTACCTCTGTTGCAATGATGCTCATCAATGCATGTCACATGTAAGGGTTGAATATGAGCCACCTGCAAGTCTTCCTTCAGCTGAAGGCTATGTGAGTCATTGATAACCCCAAGGGGAACTCAAGTCTCACAATAGGTGTGTGGTGTTACCTCTGAGTTATAGAACAGATAGTATCAACTCCAGAAAATAGCGTAAGAACTGAATCTGAGAACTTGGCATGGACCAAAGTTGCTGTCTCCAGTCTTCCCCCACCTTCAGGCAGCCATTCAGGGCATGCACGTCTTCTATTTGAAGTGTGAAGATCCCACGCTATGGCTTGGTATCGTCTTCGGTTGTTCAGTAGTCACTCTTAAGATGTTCTTTGATATATTGAAACCAGATCCTCCTGCTGCAGCTTATACTTTTTTCTCTGCAAAATGGAAATTAAATAATCTCCATTATCTGTATAATGATCCTTTGTACACGTGACTACTGTTAATAAATTGTTCAGTAACTTTTTCTTTCCTTCTGCCTATCAAATAATCCATCCCTTCAGCCTTTTCTCAAAGGCCTTCCTCTCCAAACCCCTTCATTATCTTTGTCTCTCTAGTAAACCTGTTTTTAATGTTCTGCGCCCCTTGTAACACCTATTAGAGGAAAAATGCCCAAGGATACACCTTTGCTATATGGGATCTTTCCAGATCCGTTATTTCTATGCCAGCACAGTTCTCATCACTAACATGTATCCCATCTAGCGCCTTAAGGAGAAAACATTTGTCCCCAAATTTCCCTAGAAATTTAGTTTCTTCTCACTTCATCAATAATTTATTTAGGGTACATCTGCTGAGATTACCTGGGTTTCTTTTCTTTCCAGACCGTTTAGTTTATATTTACTGCATCCCTAATTTTGTACTCAAATCTGTAAGGCCCCTTATACCCTTTCTGTGCTTCCAGCTTTCTGTAATCAAGCCAGTGCTAATCCAGTTCTTTCCCTAGACCCTGCCTAAAAATTTCTATTAACTAGGATGGGAACATTATTGCCTGTTGATAATGTTGAATATATTTTCCTTTGACCTTCACAGAATGATGTCTTCCTTGGTAAATGCAAATCTATGTTTTAAAAGGGAATGTATTTTAGTATCTGTTGTTGCTTTATTGTATCAGAATGTTTCTAAAAACGATTAAGCTATTAAACTATTAAAGCATCAGTGTGGAATGTTCTCTTTACTTAAAACTTCATCAGTGCTCTTCACTTTTTAAACTCTTAATTGATAATCAGGTTTCTGCTTATATTCTTAGTTGTTGGGTACCATCGAGTTGATCCGACTCTTAGCGACCGCATGTGATAGAATAGAACTGCCCTATAGGGTTTTCTAGGCAGTAATCTTTAGAGCCACTGGGTGAATTTGAACCACCAACCTATGGGTTAGCAGTCGAGCACTTAAACGTTGTGCCACCAGGGTTCTTTGCTTATTTTCTACAGGTGGCCTTGTCTACCCTGCTCCCACATTCAGCTGGTCAAAGGTTTGGCCACTGGCATGACATGGTACAGATAAACATTTTACATAGCATTTCTGTCTTCTTAAGTTCTTAACAGTGACTCACTTTAGCAGACATCTAATTTATGCAGTGATTTATTTTTGAGGGGTGATTATTTCTATCTGTAGTTTTTCTCTATGCATTCAGCAAAAGATTAGGAAGCTTTCTTAGTAAATGGCTCTGGCTTTTCCAACATTATGTTAGAGATCTTCACTGAGTAAACCATTGTTAGCTGCCGTCGCATCAACCCAACTCATGGCAACACCATGCAAAACAGAACTAAACACTGCCCAGCCTTGCACCAACCGTGTGATTTATTGCAGATCAAACCAGTTGTGATCCATTGTATTTTCGTTGACTGATTTTCAAAAGTAGATGGTCTGGCCTTTCTTCCTTCCTGGAAGGTTAGACTTAGAGGCAGCAAAGCATAAATAAAGAAGATCCTCAGACTATTTCATTTTAATTCCTATAATATGAATTCTAGGGATATGATAATCTAGGAAAGGTAATGCAGGCTAAAAGATGAGAGAGTAAGATGTTTATTTTTGTCTTGTTCACTTGGGGCGTGTGCAAAATGGAGTTAATGTGGAAGCTTAAGTGCAAATAAAGCAACAAAAGTACCATAAATGTTCGTGCTCAGATGAGCGTGTTGTTGTTGTTAGTTGTCATCAAGTCAATTCCAATTTACAGCAACCACACGTGGCAGTAGAACTGCCCCATAGGGTTTTCCAGGCTGTAACCTTTATAGAAGCGGATCACCCCAGGTCTTTCTCCCATGGAGCCATTGGGTGGGTTCAAACTACCAACCTTTTTGTTAGCAGCTGAGCACTTAGCCGAGGGCTTACTGCAAGAAAATTTGAGGAGTCCGTTACAACCCAAATTATTTGTAAAATGAATGTTTTTTATTTCAACTTCAAATATAGGCATATAGAGTCCAATAATTTGCCTCTGGCAAGCCAGTTAAGTGCTAGTTAAACAAAAAGAAGAAGGTTTAAAGAGACATCTTTCATCTTTCCGTTCTCCTGCCTGTCTCTTCTGTCAAGTAGAAACAGTAGTGCTGGGATGGCTCCCATGTATAATTCTTTAGAGAGTTTACACCAAAAATAACCACCAAAAGCCTTCATAAAATGGGAAACTCACTTATCCTCCTGCCCCCCACCCACCCACCCAGTAACTCAAAGCCGAATACCTTGTTCTAGAACAGAAATTAAATTTTGTCGAAATTTAATTTCACCAAATTAAACAGCTGCAACATTTCACAATTCAGTTGGTACACAAATACAGTAATCAAGACACTGTGTTACTGGCATAAGGGTAGGCATACAGTTCAATGGAATAGAGTTCAAAGTCCAGAAATAAACCTAAATACCTGTGGTCAATTGATTTTTGAAGAGGGTGCCAAGACAATTTAATGGAGAAAGAATAATCTTTTCAACAAATGGGACAACTGAGTAGCCACATGCAAAAGAATGAAGTTGGACACCTTCCTTACACCATATACAAAAACTAACTTAAAATGAATCATAAACCTAAATGTAGGAGTTAAAACTATAAACTTCTTAGAAGGAAACATAGGAGTAAATCTCTGTGACCTTGGATTAGCCAGTGGTTTCTTAGGACACCAGATACACAAGCGACAAAAGAAAAAATAGATGAATTGGACTACATAAAAGTTAAAACCTTTTGTACTGCAAATGATACCATAAAAAAGAAGTGAAAAGACAGCCCACGTAAAGGGAGAAAATATTTACAATTCACATATCTAATAAAGGACTGGTAAATGCATAAAGCACTTTCACAATTCAATAGTAAAAAGACAAAACTAATCCAGTTTAACGATGGACAATTGATTTGAATAAACATTTCTCTAAAGAAGATATGCAAAAGGCCAATAAGGGCATGAAAAGATGTTCAATTCCATTAGTCATTCCACCCAAAGCCAAACCCACTGCGATCAAGTGGATTCCAACTCATCAAAACCACAGTGAAATACCACTTTATACCCAGTACGATGGCCATTATCAAAAAGACAAGTTTTGGCAAGGATGTGGAAAATTAAAACCCCCATCCATTACTGGTGGGAATGTAAAATGGTGCAGCCACTTTGAAAAATTACCAGTTTTTTAAAATGTTAAATGTACACTTGCTAGCTATTTCACTCGTAAGTATTTACTTAAAACATCCATACAAAGACTTGACATGAGCATTTTGGGACTTGACATGAGTATTTTGGCAGTTCCTCAAGTTATTAAATGCAGAGTTACAATATGACCGAGCATTTCCACTCCGAGGTGTATAACCAAGAGAAATGAAAACATCTGTTCACGAAAAACTTGTACAGAAATGTTCATAAAAGCATTATTCATAAATGGGAGCGAGTAATGCTCACTTCCAGAAATGTCCATCAGATAAGAGATTAAAAAAAAGAGGAAGACCTTCAACTAGATGGATTGACAAAGTGGCTGCGACAATGGGCTTAAGCATAACAACGATCATGAGGATGGCGCAGGACCAGGCAGTGTTTTGTTCTCTTGTACGTAGGGTCGCTATGAGTTGGAACCAACTTGATGACACCTAACTACAACAACAAACAAAATGTATATCCATACAATGAAATATTCAGCCATAAAAAGGAATGAAGTACTGATACATGCTGTGATGTGGATGAACCTTGAAAACATTTTGCTAAGTGAGAGAAGCCAGACACAAAAGACCACATACTTATGACTGCATTTATATGAGATGCCCAGAATCAGCAAATGCAGAGACAAAGAATAGTGATTGCCTAGGTTGGGGAATATGAAGTGACTGCTAATAGACATGAGGTTTCTCTTTGGGATAATAAAAATGTTATAAACTTAGATTTTAGTAATGTTTGCACAGCTCTGTGAATATACTAAAAACCATTAAATTGTACACTTTGTCTGGATTCTGTGGTATGTAAATTGTATCAAGATTTTTTTTAATTTTAATGTAGCACACAGTTTTGTTTTAAGTCTTTGGCATTCAAAAGCTTTGACAAAGTCTACTGTAGATTAAAATGAGATATATGGTCTTCAAAATATAAGTGTGTAGAACATTGTATGCAGGACCTGTGAATCTCAATATTAGCTGGCAGCCACAGTTAAAATGTAGCAACTGGAAGACAAAGAAGGACACTATATAATGATTAAGGGGACGATACATCATGAAGACATAACCATAATAAACATCTACGCACCCAATGACAGGGCT